AAAACAAACATTTGAAATGTATTAAAGAGGTTTTAGAGATTATGTAAATGAAATCTAAGATTTTTGAGATGAAGAAAAGTATTTTTAATCTTAACATAAAAATCACTATGCACTTGGACTGGTAAAAAAAAACTTGATGTTCTCACAGACAAATCTTTTTTTAGTTTATTAAAAATACTTCACTAAATAATATGGTTTTTATATGTGAAAGACTTGTAATGTTTACTGAAGATATACATACAATATTAAAAGTTAGTAGTATCAAACTATAAAGATTTTAAACGAGTACATAGAGGTCACATGGTCGGTCAAATTGACAGATCCCATGTTGAGAGAGTTAATAGCACTTTGTAACAAAACACCTAATTGATTTTTCTGTATTATGCAGATATTTACAGAGAGGCCCAGTAATGATCCACCAACAGAACGTATGCGTCCTGATGTAGTTGTTGACTTTCTCCATCGGTATCCTGTTGCTCTCGTCCTCTTTCTGGAATACTTAGTGTTTCAAAGAAAATTAGAGGTTTGTATTTAAAACAAATTTTTCAGCTCCATCTGAAGTAGAATTTTGAGAAATTAAAATTTGTCAATCTTATGTTTAAAGCTTTGTATTGGTAATTTGTTGGTTGCTCAGTAACAAGTTGTTTCTGAACAGGATGTGTGGAAATTACAGAAATTTTGATGTAAAACTTACTTTCTTAATTCATATCCTATTTCACTCCTACCAGTTAATATTATTTGTAGCCATATCCTAATCCACTCTTAACAGTTACATGTGATCTGTAGTCATATCCTAATCCACTTTTAACAGATACATGGCATCTGTAGTCATATCCTGATCCACTTTTAACAGATACATGGCATCTGTACTCATATCCTGATCCACTTTTAACAGTTACATGTGATCTGTACTCATATCCTGATCCACTTTTAACAGTTACATGGCATCCATAGTCATATCCTGATCCATCTCTAACAGTTACATGGCATTTGTAGTCATATCCTGATCCACTTCTAATAGTTACATGGCATTTGTAGTCATATCCTAATCCACTTCTAACAGTTACATGGCATTTGTAGTCATATCCTAATCCACTTCTAACAGTTACATGGCATTTGTAGTCATATCCTAATCCACTTTTAATAGTTACATGGGATACATAGTTGGATCCTAATCCACTTCTAACAGTTACATTATATCTGCAATCGTGTCCTTATCCACTTCTAAAAGTTACATTGCATCTGTAGTCATATCCTAACCCACTCTTAACAGTTACGTGTGATCTGTAGCCCATATCCTAATCCACTTCTAACAGTTACGTGTGATCTGTAGTCATATCCTGATCCACTTTTAACAGTTATGTGTGATCTGTAGTCATATCCTGATCCACTTTTAACAGTTATGTGTGATCTGTAGTCATATCCTGATCCACTTTTAACAGTTATGTGTGATCTGTAGTCATATCCTGATCCACTTTTAACAGTTATGTGTGATCTGTAGTCATATCCTGATCCACTTTTAACAGTTATGTGTGATCTGTAGCCATATCCTGATCCACTTTTAACAGTTACATGTGATCTGAAGCCAT